CAAACAAACAAACAAAAAATCCGTTATAGAGGTATATCTCGCAGTAACAATATTCTTCGTACTATTAAATTCCTGAGAGCACAATTTCAGGTTTGACCCTCTAGCTATACTTAATTAGACAAAGCATTATGGAGATGTAAATTCTATATAAAACTCTAAATACCACAGCACCTAAAATCATTTATACGCGCAAAATTAACAATAACAAACCTACATCATTATTAGGTAGCAATCGTCTAATTTGCAGTATACCTATTTCATTATTGTATCATCTGAAAGCGACCTTGACTGGCCTGTCGCATACAATAATAACATGCTGTACCTAAGCTATCTGGGGACAAAAATAACATGCAATTCATGTGCGAACCGTTTATCATGCTGTGGAATGTTTTTGTTACATGTGCGGTTAAGGAAACTCAGACATCGAAGTGTAACAAGTTCGATCAACTGTAAATATACTGTAACAATGAGTAGGTATGAGTCAGGAAACATGATGTTTTGTTTTTCAAATGGTAGGTACTGTTTTTGTATAAAACATCAACTCGTGTGAATTACTTTTATTATGACTGATAGAGGCATAAAGGGCTGATCGTTTACCCATTTATACATCATAGGCCAGATCTACTTGAAACAGAACTGAGGAAACATTATTTATGACATAGTTCGGAGTTTTTTTTGCTATAGGTACACGTAGAAGGAAATTTGATATTACAATTTATTTTTATGTGTTCTACACAGATAACGAAACATAAACAGCACTAATTAAGAATTTAAAGAAATAAATATATACCTAGTTATAGTTATGTACTGATGTATTTTAGTACAAATTTTAACACAAGTAATAGTCACACAAATTAGTGTCGATTTTTCAATCATCAGTTAATTCTTAACTGTAGAATAAAATTGACATTTGACAGTTTTTACATAACATAACATCACGCCTTTTATCCTCGAAGGGGTAGGCAGAGAGAGGTCCACATTATACCACTGTACAATGTAACACCCACTTTTCATTACTTATGTTATGAGTCCCATGTAATAGGGGGTGATCCTATTGCCATATACCGGGCACACAAATAGTGAAAAATGGGTGTTACATTGTACAGTGGCATTAAGTCCCGTAATTACACCTCTGCCTACCCCTTTGAGGATAAAAGGCGTGATGTTATGTAGTAGTTTTCCTCTGTAAAACCAGACAGTGATGTATTTTTATCCATGCGAACACCATACTGTAAGATAAAGAAGATGTGTCACCCACATAACCCGTTCAGCTTTTGTTTTGGTTTGAGTGATAACCGATGAGTAACAAGACGCGCCATGGTTCTTTAGATAACAAACTATTAAAAGATTAGCGTTACACCTAATTTACAAATGATATTATGTACATAAATATGTACCATGTGTGTCATTCTTCGTTTTGCCACATGGTGGATTTAGTAGTGTCAGCTAGTACTAAACGTGCATTTTTTAAGTATGGGAGACCTTCAGCACGAATGGGCCGGCTCGACTTGAGTTATACCACGGCCTTACAGTAAACCGACGTGAAACAACGCTTGTATTGTGTTTCGTCGTTGAGTGAGGTTACCGAAGGTCTAATTATCCCCCCTTTTCCAATCTCCCCAATTCCTGAATCCTCAACAAACATCAAATTCCTAATTCCGTAAAAGGTCGGTAACGCACTTGTATCGCCTCTGGTGTTCCGGGTGTCCATGGGCGGCACCGATTGCTTACCATCAGGTGATCAGTCTAGTCGTTTACCGACTTATCCTTTAAAAAAATAGAATTAATAATTAATCTCAATTCAAAATTTTAATAAAGATCGATTTTTAACATTGTTGTTACTGTCAAAAATGTCATTTATTTTTTCTTTATTTATTTACAGGGTTAAAAATGAAATCTATTCAAAGATTTAGTATCATCATCAACAGCCTAGAGGTATAAATGCCCACTGCTGAGCAAAGCCTCTTCTCACACGGAGAAGGTTAGAGCATTAATCACCATGCTTGCTCAATGCGGGTTGGCGATTTCCAACTTATAATTAGAAATTATAAGTCCAGGTTTCCTCACGATGTTTTTCCTTCACCGTTTGTCAGTGGTGTCTAAATAATCTTAGAAAGTACATATAACTCGGAAAAAGTCACATTGGTACTTGCCGTTGGTAGGTTTCGAACCCGCACCCTCATGCATGAGAAGTGGGCGTCTTAAACCTCCGGGCCACCAAGATTTAGTATTGCCACCGTCATTCTTTCAAGAGACTGTGCGCCCCTTATTCCAACGTCCTTGATTAAGATCGATTGTTTGTTTCGGCTGCTAAGGATATTTCAACAGAGACTGGGCCAAGCGTAAAGATTATGTTTTTTCCTTCATAATTATGTAGAAGAGAGCTCTTAATCCAGTAGTGATCAGTCATGAGCTGTTTATGTTGTGTCATTCTCACGATGATTCAGAGTTTCAAGATCGACTGAAGTAGGAATGAATAATTAAGCAAACAGAATATTAGTTAGCATAACATTATCTGAATTCCTCATGCGTGCACTCATGAAGGTCGATTTGGAGGAATGTAATCCTTTTATCTACAAATCCAACGTTAATGAGCAACCAAAGAAGAATTATTGGTTTTGTAAGTGTGACTATTTTACTAGACTGTTCTATTTTTAAAACTATTTATGAATATTTAGACATTTGCTCTTCCCCTGTAACGCTATGAGTTCCATCGTAAAAATTGTATTAGTATTTTCAATTATAAAAAAACAGGGTAGAATTTTGTAATGCCATCTAAAGGGGAAGTACTCTTAATACTTAAGATAGAAAATTTTGCTCAAAGAAAACATTTCTTTATTTTTGAAAAGAAACAGAAGTCCATTCAAAAATTTTTCAAATTCGCTCGAAACGACTAAAATCTATAACAGTTGCACCATGTACATTTATTCGACGCTTTATGTAAATAGTTGTTTTTGTTTTTTTTTCTTATAATTAATTTTAATCTTTAGTTGTATATAGGTATTTCATTTAGTAATAATATAATAATAAATCATTTATTTCAAGTAACCAAGACTCACAAAATGTTAGTAAAACTTACATCTATGTTAGTAATCACAATTGTTTTATAGTACAATAAAAGTTTTTATATTAATACATCCTACATTAATCCATGGGAAATGGCATTACATCGTCCCATGTATATGCAGTCCAGTCTGCTCGCAATCATGTTCAGGATACTGTTGGAGCTGGCCCGCACCCTGCTCACCAGGGAAGCACACCTTTTGCGCATTGTAGCATAAAAACAGTCTATGTGTGCATCTGCAAACATTCCTGATGCGCTACAGAAGCGGGGCAGCCCCACCAGCACCCTAAATGCATTATTATATTGAACACGGAGAGCGCTGTATGACCTCTGCGCAAACCCAGCCCACAGGCTGCATGTATAAAAGCTAGTACAGTATGCCCTGAAGAGGGTGAGCTTGACTTCAATACTTAGTTTTAATTTTTTTAAGTTATAGTTAGTTTTTAATTTAAGTTTTTTATTTGAATAAATGCATTTCATTTATTGCATTCATTTTAATGAAAGGAAAACAATGAACGATCGATGCAATAAAAGTACAGAGTGCAAACTTTGACAGATTTTAGTCGATCCGATTAACGTGTGAGGCAAGCTAATTTTAAAAAAATCTTTGCATGCAGTTTTGTTTCTTTTCAAAAATAAAGGAATGTTTTCTTTAAGTACAATTTTCTATCTAAAGTATTAATAGTACTTCCCCCTTCAGGTGGCATCACAATATTCCACCCTGTATAGCAAAATATTATATTTCGCTTATATGGAATTTAAAAGTAGGTTTACAACCTGAGGATTAGCCACTGTCTAATCTTAGGTGAATTGCCTAAATACATGTGGTATTAGTGTATGGGTACAGTTTCGTCATTTATTACATGGAATTAAGTTTACAAGACTAGGAAAAATCTAAGTCAGCTATCGCATTAAAAAATGACTCAACAAAAATTGTATTTCTTTATTGATTGTCAGTTTAGTCACATGTATTTTATCTTATTCTAGGTCAATTTAATTCTAATTATGCTACATTTAGATCATCATTGCAAAATATAGACTAGATAGTAATAGACTACCATCCATGAAAAAAACAGCTGAAAACTAAAAACAGTAGCTCATTTAAATTTAATATCTTATTGGCGTAGCCTAATATTGGTCCTTCATTAAATCTCCGTCAGACTTCTGACTCATTGAGTTTTTTTGGCACATATGAAATTTGAAGTAAGTGCTAAAATTAATTGAATGCAACTTAACATGACCTGGACAATATTTGTCAATGACATCTTAATACTATACTGTGTTTGTTCACACACACATAGTTCCTATTATAATCCTTTATGTAAGGTAAAATTATAGGTAGATGGTACATTTCGATCGTGATTTGATGGTCACCATGACTTGTCGTTGTGATGGCACCGCCCATCGTTGCTATGGTGCCCATACACCATAACAGGTCTTATTCACAATCATAACAGACTTATAAATCAGTATTTCTGTGGACTTCAGTTGAAACAGTGACTTTCGTTCGTCGTCCGTAGAAAGCTTATTCGGAACTACGCGAATTGGCTTAACTTTGTTCGGTCATCTGTAGGTTATTTCTGAAATAAAATTTGGTGAATTAATTTTGAATTTTGGTTTGTGCTAGTTTGATTTAAAATTATTCAAACTGGGCCAATGCATGGACAAAACTGTTGTAGAAAAAATACAAAAGGCAAAGTGAGTTTTTTGCGAAGTTCATTAATTTTTGCACATTGTAAAGTTAGAGTTTCAAAAGTTTCTTTTATTTACATTTCATTGAAATTATTCCAAGTTAAATATATTCCGTGATATTAGAAGTATGTAATTTTCATGTCTCATTTTGTGTTTATTTTTTCTTTAGGTTTAATAGCAATTCGCTAGACGACAACAACTAAGTTTATAAATAAAACTATTTGTTGAAATAATTAATAAAATCATGAAAAGCTTAGCATGTTTAATTGCTGTATGTCTGGTAATAAACCTTCCTAGGTAAGTGATATTTGAGTGAATCGGTGACGGACGGATTTTGTATCATTTTTGGACTGTATTGGAAAAACATTTCTTTATAAACATGGTGCATTTAACATATTTTAAGGGATTTTTAATTTCAAAAATAGTTTATTGTTCTATTCCAAAATCATTAAAATTAACCAGCTACATAATGTAAATTAAAATAATTAAAGGTTAAAGTTTACCATAGCATGGCTTATGATTTGCTTACTGAAATATTTCAGCACTGAAATTTATCTGCACGCGATAGCAAAGTTGCAAGTTTTTGTCATAGTTTGTGCACGATTGCAACCTGCCATTATATCACGTAATGACAATGTAATTACTGGATTATACCTATAATCTTATTTGCATTTTTATGTATCTACACTACATGTAATTCATAATACATAATACCACGCCTTGTGTCCTCGAAACTTAATGCCATTGTACAATGTAACATACAATTTTCTCAATTTATGTTATAAGTCCCATGTAATAGGGGGGAGATTATTACTATAATACTGGGTACAATTCCAGACTTCGTGCTACCGCTGACAGTTTTTTTAAATCCCAGTGTAATGCATGTACCTATTCATTTTAAAATAACGCAGAATGAGCCTGTTTCCAATTTCTCCTACATTTTAAGGACGCTAAGGTAGGTGATATTTAACCCCTCGAGCGTTCTTATGAGCACCCGGTGGATCATAAGAAAAAATGCTCTAAATGTCACGTGTGCACCCGTTGGATCATAAGGAATGCGGACGCTCGACGGGTTAACAAACATTTTGGTTTTCATCCACCATTAAGTGACAACTAACAGTAGAAGTAAGGAGTTGTTTAGGCGCTTCGTCACGCTAAGTAACGTTTAGTTAAGGGATAGTTTTGGGGTGGTTTGTGAAATCAGCCATTAGACTTTTGACGGTGATGGGTATCGAATTAAGTATTCATTCAAAAGGTAGTTTACTCATCATGATGAGTTTGTATTACTAACTGATACATATATACTTACAGAGGTTGTATGTTATGATTGTCGTAGTTAAAATAAATTGGTAGTTATCATGTTCTTTCATGGGTGGGTATAATGATGTGGTAACTTATTTGATGTGCTAATTTGTTATTAGTGTGTCAATATTTGTATATTTTAATATTAGTTATCGATGGTGATGTGAAACCTCTATTAGAATTTTGTATGTGTTTGCCGTTGCTTGTTAAAATGACTTAATACATAAAGGGTACTTTATTTAATTTTTTTTTGGCCTGGTAGTGAGCACACGGATCACCTGATGGTTAGCAATACGGCGCCGTCCATGGACACTTAAAACACCAGAGGTGTTGCGTTGAGAGAATTGCGTTACCGGCCTTTTGGGGATTAGAAATTTAAGGATTGTTGCGGATTCGGGATTGGAGAGATTAGGGAGGAGGTAATTAGGCCTCCGGTACCTCGCTCACACGACGAAACACAACGCAAGTGTTGTTTCACGTCGGTTTTCTGCGAGCCGAAGCATGGCCCTCCCACATATAAAATTTGGGGATCAAGGGTAGCATTTTGTTTGCAGTTGAATATACTGTTTAATTTTCGAGTACCGATTGTTAAACTCGAATGTCTTATCAAAACACGGTTATAGAACACTGATCAACTTTATTCAGATTGTTTTTGTTATAAACAAACATTCTGATTTGTCCAATTTAACAATATGCTCTCTGTTTAACAATAGCAAAACAATAATAATCAATTGGTAAAATAAGCTATACCATAACTTGTTCTTCCATTCGAAGATATAGTAACAAACTACAAACTTGATTAATCTATAGTTAACAATGGTACTGTCATCTTTCAACAGCAACGCAGCAGCACGTTCTAAGAGCAAGATGCCAAACCAGCCAATCAAGGTGTACTACCTTCCACCATCGCCACCATGCCGGTCCATCATCATGGCTGCCAAGGTCATTGGTGTCGACCTGGACCTGGTCTTAACGAATATCATGGAAGGACATCATATGACGCCGGAATATCTTAAGGTATGAAGTAAAGGAGCAGTGAATTTACTTGTAGATTTTTTCTTAAAATTTTTGTAATTATTTCATAGTCAAAAGTGGTGTACCGAACAAAAACATTCATAACTAGTTTAAAACATAGAAAATTAATAAAAATATCTTATAGAAACGATAGATAGGTTCTTGATTGTAGCGGTGTTATATCAGTATTTGTTTAATTTTAATATAATAGTGAAATAAAACATTTAACTTTCCAAGCTACAGTTCTCATGAACACAGCCTGAGAATCAGCTAGGAATAAGATAATTGCTTGATAACAATATCATTGTTAAAGTAAATTCAAAAGAATTCAAATACCTAGCAATATTATAATAGCAGAATGAACATTGTCAACATCGCGTGATAAACTCACATTTTTATTTGCGCTACCAATAAATCATGTTTGCGTTGCCTTTTTCACGAAATCGGCGACTGAAATATATTTACATTTGGTCGCAACTAAGTATAGAATATTTTTATGGTAGATCGGATTAATTTACTATGGGTTGTAGTGGAATACCATTCGATAGTCGTTAATTCTATAGAACTTGAACTTAAGTCGTGAACTAAAACAGTATAACGTTTAACAGTACCTATTTAGATTATTTTTAGTCATGTACTTTTTTTTTGGCACAAGCCGGTAAACGAGCAGACGGATCACCTGATGGTAAGCAATCGGCGTCGCCCATGGACACCTGGAACACCAAAGGCGTCACAAGTGTGTTACCGGCTTTTTGGTTATTAGGAGTTTTTATTAAACTTAATTTATTATTAAACTTATTTTCACAAAGCTGACACGTACCCGAAAGAAAAGGCCCTAGAACAATAGATAACGAGAAAACTTGTTATTGTGGTAAAATATTTATAGAATTTAACTGATCGTGCATACATAAATGTTTAAGTAAGATCAAGTACTACTGTTTTGTCTTACTGAAATCTTTTTAATAAGGTTAGCAAACAAATGCAATATTATTTATTTATTTCTAGATGAATCCACAACACACGATTCCGACCATGGACGACAGTGGATTCATTTTGTGGGAGAGGTACGTTTAATAATGCGTCACATTACCCACAGTTGATTTGCAAAACAATAACTTGAGATTCATATAAGTATTTACCAATGAAATTGCTTACCTAAATTATGTTTTCGGCTTACTCACGTAGTAATTTGACTAGGAACCGCGTCGCGGGTCGAGAAATGCTGCTCATGAATATGAGCCTCTAGCATGGCTTGAAACTAGTCGAGTTCCTCGTCAAATTACTACGTGAGTAAGCCGAAAATATAATAATTTATTTAGTATGTCTCACGAAAGTTACAATACAAATAAATTGCTTACCTTTTCCATTTCACAATGTTTTTTTTTTCAGCCGCGCAATACTGGCTTACCTCGCTAATGCCTATAGTCGCGACGACACTTTATACCCGAAGAACCCTCGTCAGCGAGCTATTGTCGACCAGCGCCTGAACTTCGACCTTGGCACCCTTTACGTACGATACTCTGCACTCTATGTAAGTTCCGAAATTAATAAATACTTCTGTTATTGAAGAAATTGACTCATATGTGTTTATAGCACTGAAACGCAGTATGAATGTTTACCTTCAGTTTGTAAAACAAAAGAAAATATTCTGGTATTGTATTTAAATGTCGTTGGTGGCTATTTATATGTAATCGGACGACAAAACGCAACTTTATCACTTTTTCTACTGAAGGTACTAAAATTGTGTTCTGATGTCGCATCAACCCTTAATTTCTCTGCACTTCACTATGTATGATCGACTGTCACAGAGTATCTTAAGGCATTAAGTTCGCCATTCATTATAGAGGTAATTTGGTGTGAAGAAAAAAGAAAGAAATAAATAAGATAACCGATTACCCACTAACACCATCAACAGCCTATAAGTGGCCACTGCTGACCAAACGCCTCTTTTTGCACATAGAAGGTTTGAGCATTAATCACCACGCTTGCTCAATGCGAGTTGGCGCTTTCAAACTTATAATTAGCTATTATAAGCCCAGTTTTCTCACGACGTTTTCCTTCACCGTTTGTCAGTGGTCTCTAAATAATCTTAGAAAGTACATATAGCTCGGAAAAAGTCACATTTCTACTTGCTGTTGGTAGTTTCGAAACCGCACTATCATGCATGAGAAGCGGGGCGTCTTAAACCTCCGGGCCACCATGACATTCACCCACTAAGATTATCTGATATCCAACTCTAAAACGCCAGTAACGCATTTGTACGTTACCCTGGTGTTTTCTCATGAAACCAATCTCAATTTCAATACAATTGCAATCCAATAAAAACCCAATAATTATTCAATGTCAAAACTATACAACCCCTATTGTAGAGGTAGCTATTAAAATAGCACCAGAGTACGGAATATAAAGCCAAACCAATACCATTTAGTTCATTAAATACCCACCCAATACGGATGCAATGGACACTAGTGCTAAAACTCAAGAGTACCAAATTTCACAATATCAATGTCGATCGATCGGAATTTGATTTAAGAGGAAGCCCACTGATCTTGCGGGTCTGTATTGGAAAAATAATGTTATACAGAATCGAGTAGAAGTATCCGATAATTTAGATATATTGTGAAAAGGACTACACGTCAATATAGTACTAAAAAGTGTGTCTGATGACTCATTTCAGTTATGATTTACATTTCCTCATATAGGGACGAAGTGTTATTTATATTGGCACCGAACCCACTGACTGCCGGAACTGATCATTGTTGCTTTGCGGCAGTGGCTAATCAAGTGTAATGTAGAGTGTGACACACGTTAGCGGTATAGTCTGTCTGTCTGTACATACATATTTAAGTTTGAAGTGATTTTCATTTATGAATCATGCTTACATCTAATGGTAACTTTAATATTTTAATATACTACACATTCGTTAATTCAAACTCAAACTCAAAAGCATTTATTTCAATTGAACCATAATTTGGTACTTTTGAAACGTCAACAAATATGAAATAAATAATAGTCTGTCAATCTGTCCGTCATTGAAGCTAGGCTCTCGTTCCAAAATGTCGATTCAAGTGGAGAAGAACGAGCAAGAAACTCCATTCGTTACTCTTTAAAAAAAAGTCTGTTTTACACTGCTCTGATACATATTCCAATATTATACACACATGTGAGATTAATGTAAAGACATACCTGACGCATCATACAACTATATACTTATTTATCTATATATTTATTTGTCTACTTATTTACCTACTATATACTTATTTATCCCACCACAATTGCCCATCAACAGTTTACAATTTGTTTACTAATTGTAACAATCTATCTATACATATAATAAAATCGTAGGAAAGTCAAAACTGTACATTGAATATTTTTTTTTAAAGAATACTTGGGCGTGAACTACAATTGATACCGAAGCCAAAACTAGAGTTTTTAGATTTTTGTCTGTTTGCCTGTATGTATGGCCGGGCTAAACTCAAAAAGTACTGTATGGATTTTCTTTAAATTTTACAAAAATATTACTATCGTGTCGGGTCAACATACAGACTACATACCTCTATTATCAGGATATCATCTAAAGGGTATGAGCAGTGAATAACTATTCCACGCGGACGAAGTCGTGGGCACAGCTAGTAAAAAATATAGGTCTAATCTTCACCATCTCATACATGAGGGCGCTGGTTCAAAACCTACTAACAGCAAGTACCAATGTGATATTTTCCGAGCTATTTTCTACGATTATTCAGACACCACTGACAAACGGCGAAGGAAAACATCGTGAGGAAACCGGGGATAATAATTTCTAATTATAAGGTTGAAATCGCCAATGTGCACTGAGCAAGCGTGGTGATTATGCTCACACCTTCAGCAGTAGTCAGCGGTGGCCACTTATAGGCTGTTGGTGATGATGATGATGATGATGATGATGATAAATTACTTTACAAAGACGTTCATTTCTAGAATTATGCTTTTTTCTAGTTACCCATGCTGTTCCGTGGTGAAGAGTATGATGAACAGAAGGCTGACCAGTTAGACGAGGCCCTTGGCTGGCTGAACACCTTCCTCGATGGACGGGCCTTCGTCGCTGGTGACAATCTTACCATCGCTGACATTTCTATTATCGTAACCATCACAAATCTTGAGGTAAGAAAGCAATTGATTAAATGTACGAATGTAATATGCTTACATGATTATGCAAGTGTGACTGCCGGGCAAGAGGTCTCGATTCCAGGGTCGGGGAAAGTAGGTATTATTGGGTTTTAAAAAATCTCAGTAGTAGGACAGAGTCTGGAATTGTAGCCGGCAATAAACTACATTGGACCTGTTTTTTTTATAATAACTATCGTGAGACATACAAAATTAACTGAAATCGCGGGTTACTAGTAGAGTGTTTGTCAGTATATTCACGTCAGTAACCCGCAATTTTAGTTAATTTACATTGGACTCATAACATAAATAGTGAAAAGTGAGTGTTACATTGTATAATGTGCACCTCTGCCTACCCTTCGGGGATAAAAAGCGTGATGATGTTATGATATGATTATGAAACTTGGGTAATATAGATAGTAGTAGTTTTGTTATAAATACTTCTATGAAATGCTTCTATGAAAATAGAGATACTATGTATAAACAAATTAGTCAGTAGTGAATTAATTTAATGAGATAATACCTCTAGAACAGTAATTAGATTTTATTACTTACCGAGAAAATACTTCGACGTTTAGTATAATCAAAGTATATGGACAATGTCTCGAAGGTACTACTGGTACTGAAGCTGTGAATAGGTAATAACTATTGTCTCTATACTGAAACAATCTTTATTCTGCTTGCGGCGCGGCATAGCAAATACTTTGGCTGCATAGTCACATATTTTAAATTGAAGTAGAAATAGAATAGTAGGAAAAAATTCCCATAAATTCCATGTAAAGAATGACAACATAACATAACATAAAATCACGCCTTTTATCCCCAAAGGGGTAAGCAGAGGTGTGCATTGTGCCACTGTACAATGTAACACCCACTTCTCACTATTTATATTATGAGTCCCATGTAATAGGGGGTGAGCCTATTGCCATATACCGGGCACAATTCCAGACTCCGTGCAGCTACTGAGTTTTTTTTTAAACCCAGTAATAGGTACTTTGCCCGACCCAAAAATCGAACCCGAGACCCCTTGCCCGGCTTGCCTCGCACTTGTGACCACTCGGCCAACGAGGCAGTCAAAGTATCCTAAAGGCAGTAAAGAATGACAATAAATTGAATAATCCATTTCTTACCATTCATATAACAAGAGTAGATGTTGATGTTAGTAAAGATTCTTGGAAGAATTGTGTCAGATGAATGAATAGAGATACTAAGGCAACATCCGAATGCAAAATACCTTTTATGCAAGCATTGTGTAGATGACAAACATTGGTATTGTACGCTTGTGTTTATATGGGAAGCGTAACGTGCACTGGTAAGTGTGTTACGCGAGATCAATTGTATTGGCATTTGGCTTCTGAGATAATCATTAAATTATTTAATCAAATCACTATTGTTATCAAATAAACTTGACTTGCATCTTCTTTGACCCACATGACTAACCATTATGATACTAATTCATTGTTAGGTTTTAGGAAAAGAAATGGTAAATGAACAACGAGTTTCCAGCTTATTATTATTTTTATCAATTTCTTTTTATGTACGACTTTAATCAGACCTGAAACTATACTTACTTGTAACCATTATAGTGCCATTTGGTATTAATTTCAACTTAAGTGCTGTCTGATTACCCACCCCTAATGATACTGAAAGAAATTATCCTTGAAAGCACCTGTTGTTTTACAGGCTGGCAAAATAGCTTCGTATTGATTTAGCCATGGCTTGTAAAAGAAAGCTCTATGAAGAAATGGTAGATTGTCGTAGTTTATTTAATGTCAGAGGTTTTACATATAGAATTAGATCCTTTTTTAGATTACGATCAAGCTTCCTTGTGTGTAGTGCGAAGGTGTAGGTGTTATCAAGGCCCAAGTGAATAGGTTGCTTATGTAGCCCAAGTGAATAGGGTAGATGTACTCCATCGTAGGCCGCATCATCGCTTACTGCCAGGCGAAACAGTAGTCAAACGTCGGCCCATCAAATATAAAAAAATAGGTTATTAAGTAGGTGCAATTTGTGGAGAAAAAAATGTTCGATACTTATTAAGTAAATTTTGTATTATGCGCATTTATAAACAGGTCTTCTGTTTTTTATTGACAGGCTTTTGGCTACGACATGAGCGGCCATCCAAACCTCACGAAATGGTTCGAAAGGACCAAGAAAGCTCTTGAGCCATATGGATACGAAGACGTCGATGTAGCTGGAGCTAAAATGCTAGCAAATTTCTTGAAGAAAGATTAGGAGATTCACTCTTTATGTATTTGTTTATTTGTTTACCTGTTATAAATGTTTAGATTACTTTTTTTACGGATACACAGGTTTTGAATGTTTATTATTTAATAATTGAACATGTTTTATGTAATTCGTTTATTATGTCCTTGTAACAAATAGATCTGTTCAAATTATACGTTGAGTTTTATTTTACAAAACTGGAGACGAAATTCGTCCTTCTTTGAATGCAGAATTCCTTGATATAGATACAGAAGGAAGAGACACTAAAGCATCACCTAAGTTTTATTTTGTAAAGAAAATCCGATATTATGTATGTACATTGTGATTCAATGTTTATAGAGTTTCCCAAAACACAGCTTTACGTCCAATGTACGAACATGGAAGTTTGTTTCAATGTTTGTATTACTTGTAAGTGTAGCGTAGTACATGTACTAGGATCGCAAAGTTCATATAGCCAATATATATAATTAAATGAGGCGTTAACCATTCGAGAAACAAAGCACGGTAATAAGGAGTTGGCACAGTATGAGCGACGTCCGGTCGCACGAGAACGGACCGTGGACCTATTGAATTGAGGTAGGCATTTCTATGTGGCATAACAATGCGTCGGCGCATGCAAGCGGGTCGCGCGCCGCGCTACCGTTCCACGTTTTCAAAACAAAACAGCCGTTCGATTGTTCCAATTTGAAAAATCCACCACAAAACGATCAAACACATCGCAGTATTCACAAACAACTAGCAACAAGTGAAACGCAGAGTGTGCTGTGCTCGCGTTGTCGTCTCCTGGCGCTGGTTCGCGTAACACGATACCTACGATATTCTCCTTCGTCCTCTTGAACTGAAAATGTGGTGGGTGCAGTGCTGCGGTTGACATGTGTTGTACTAGTTGACACAGCTGTGGATTGTGCTACCATGATGATATTCCTAGTGGGTATTTTTTGTTTTACCTAAAACATTATTGTTATTCCTAACATAGTCGATTCCAAAACATAAGTGTCGTTTCAAGACTGTTCCTACGTTGTTAGTGTATTTCATATCGTGATAAGGCAGGTACTTGCTTGCGATTAAAACTTCCGTTTATAGTTCCCTGTTATTTTAAAACTTATGCGCTTGATAAGTCGAAGTAAGTACACTTTTATGATGTTGATAACCATTGTAATATTCGACATTACTGACTGTACCATAAATGTTTTGCAAGTAAATTGAAATATTGGAATTACCTAGACAATTTCCTTGTTTACTATTCTGAGATGAGAGTATCCAATTACTTATTTATGATATTGATACGTAATGCAAGTATTTATTCCTACATATTAAGTTTGCTGCGGATATAATAGAAATAACACATGAATCGTTCTCGATCACAATATAGAGGAAGTAGTAATAAAAATTGTCATGAATAACTTGCAGCGATTCAGAATTAGTTGTTACGATGCGAGGAGTCCACTAGGCAAGATAGACAAGAAGGAGGATATAGTCATTATTCAACTAGGTACGTTGGTGCACTTAGGCTATTGTTAGATCGTTCTCACACGATATCTGATACGGCAGATACGTCTAACATTGGCCTTAAGCTCTCTATTGAACTGTATCGCAAACCATCACGTCAGTCACACATCCTGCCGTCAAAGACGCGATATTCAACAGACAAACGATTGTATTGATAAACAATGCTTCAAAGACACACCATGATAAAGCGTTTGTTGTTCCAGCAATTAACATGTCTTCTAATAATAGCTTCATCGTCATCAGCGCTACAGTTTCCACCGAATCCGACGTCAGATATGTCTGCAGATGAAAAACTGCAGAAGGCAAATAAAACGCTAGATCAATCGGATGAAAGCGGACATGAGGTAGAAACAGATGTTGATGAAGTTAAGGAAAAGAAATTTCTAGATGATGCTATGAGAACAGTACTAGATCCTAATACATTAATTGTTAAGACAAATGATATAGTAGAAACGTTTAAATATCAATTAGATGAGTTAGATAAAGTTAACGCAAGTCTCGACGTGTTTATGGAAGAGATGGATAAACTAAGTTTGGATGTTTGCAAAACATCACAGGAGGCTCTTTGGTCTTATGTTACTGATATAAACAACGAAACAAAGAAAAATAAAATGGTAAGGATTACACAAAATTTTATATGCGGATTATGTGAACTTATATGTATGAAATTATTCTCAAGGACTTATGAATATTTCCTGGTCATGTTTTTCAGGTTAGAATTGCTGCCGAAGAAGACGAAATAAAGAAGCAGTATTGGAATATACTCAAAAAGAAATATTTGAACGATGAACAAGTAATGAATGATCCAAAGATGAAACGGAAAATCAGGATTATCAAGGAACGAGGAACGAATGTGCAGATGCCGCAGAGTAAAGTAAGTTTATCTTAGAATTTAACATAAACATCTGTTAAATACGCTTACAGTTTAACAGTATAGGAAATATAGGCAAATGCTTTAACATAGCATTATTAAACAAATATTATTCCATAAATGCGTCAGTAGATGTTTACATTACTTCCTAAATTATACCAGATACATCCAGATCAATCCAGATACTTTGGATTAAATGGCTTTGCTAAATTCCTAATGTCGTCGCAGTGGGGTGCAATCTAATCGTATAAGAAAATATAATAACACTTTAACCACTCGAATATCGAGTTTTACATCTTTTAGTCAACTAGACATTACAATTACATTTTATCATTTTTCAAATGTAAAATTGCTGTATATGAAATTCCAAGTTCTATTTCCGAGTTATATTCGGTCTCACTCGAGATGCTTAAATCCAATAAGCACGGAGTCTGGATTCCTTCCGCACAGGGATTTATTTGTCATAGAATTTTATTGGTGCAAATGGGTGTAATCTATATATATAAAAGAAAGTCATGTTAGTTACACCACTTATAACTCAAGAACGGCAGAATAGATTTGGCTGAAAATTGGTAGAGAGGTAGCTTAGAGCCAGGAGACCGACATAGGATACTTTTTAACCAATTTTTTTTTACTTTTTACCGAAAATCACGAATGGGGACGGGAAGAAATAGGATTACGCGTACGAAGTCGCGGGCAGAAGCTAGTATTATAATATTTTAACTTACAAATAATATACCGTAGATACTATAATGTACATATATGAAAACTATACTGTACGGTTTGGGGTGAAATTAGTTTTAAATATTTTAAACAACTGGCTTGCATATTCTTATTCTAAAAGCAATATTTTTCTTAATCTGGAAATCGGAAGCCTTAATCGATAGTGGTTCTTATAGACAATACGCTAATAAGACAGTCTAGTACAGAAAACCAATAAATACTAAACTATAGTTCCTGTGTGACCTTATAGGTCAAACAGCTTGTCTTGAACTATAAACTAGGTGTTAGCTACTACGTGTCGTGGGGTCGATCCCCTTGCTAGGCATTAATTTGTTTAACTTACGTAATTCTTGTTCCGTCACTAACTCTATCTGTATCAGTGTTATTCATAGAATCATAGTCGTGTGCTTGATGAGAGAAAGATTTTATATTCTGTTGCTTTAAAGTTATTGGTTTAAAATTTTCTTTTTCTTTTTGGTTAAAAGGTAACATTTACGACAACGGAGTATGAGATTCTAAGTGATTTACCTCAGTCTACTAAAGCATTATTTGAATTTAGAATATTCCATTATATTGCACTAAGTATACATAAACTTATTTACGTTATTTAGCAACTGACTGACGCAGCACTATTGTAACAGGAATTTTATTAATGGTTGCAAAAATAAAAGAGGTTGCTATACCCACTATCACGGTTCTACCAAACTCATAGACACAATTACATTGTCAGATAGAAAGATAGTATTTAGTGGACTTAATGGAGCTTAGGTGGACCTAAGCTCTATATAGGTGCAACAAGTACGAAAATAAAAAAAAATACGTAGACATAAAATGATACTAATAGGTATTTTTTATAAAATTCCAGCAAAGAGAAGAAATAGACACGATGCAGAGAATTTGGAGTCGCGTCACAGTGTGCGCCTACAATATAAGTTGCGGCTCGGAAGACTCGGTACGAACGATGAGTGGTCAGTCAGTATTATTTATATTTATGGGGATTTTAATAAAATTGATAGTATAATAGTAAAATACAACTCCCAAATTATATGACATAATGTTTCCAGAACAGCCTATCTCCAATCTAATCATTATAATTATAATGTAGGATTTGTGGTATCCGATAATTTGGATTTTTTTTAAATAACACGTTGCCCATTGCACGTTGCACATTAGAATTTTCTCCTGTGTCATGGGTTACAAACATACAAGTTCACATACACAATGACACTTGGACCCGAAACAACAACAACTTGGAATCGAACCCGCGACACTTTGCACGGCAGCCGGTTGCCCAGCCACCTCACAGGTTGTAAATTCTGTGTAGATACTTAACCTCTCCAGGTACCTGGTGTTAATAAATGCTTAATAGGCAGTTTATGGATGCAATTATTTTTATTTGAAACTAACTTCTGCCCGCGACTTAGTACGCGCAATCCCGTATTCTCCCGTTCCCGTAGGATTTACAGGATTTTTTTAAGTCATAAAAATCTTCTCCTAATATTAAGAAATATAACAGAAAAGAATTAGTGAAATAGGTCCAGCCATTCACGCGTGATGCCTTGACCAAAAGAAAGAGGGATTCATTTTTATATATATGTTATATATAAGATTAGATTATTAAACGTCTCGATAAAAAATATATTACAATTGCGCAGAAAGCTTTAAATGCAATTGAAATGAAGTTTGAATAGAATTTCTTTTAACAATAGAATCGATTTTCTTTTCAGACGTAATATCGATCTTTAAAACAAGCAACGATACAAAAGAATTGTCTTATTATTGGAAGATTTATCGCGATACAACTGGAAAGAAAATACGTCCAATATTCAAAGACTATGTTGTAAGAATGAATAGAGTTGCAGAATCAGAAAATTTTACTGATGCTGGAGATATGTGGAGATACGCATTTGAAGACGATAACTTTGTTAATACTGTTAATAGAATCTGGCAAGAGATTAAGCCCTTTTATGACTTACTACACAATTATGTCAGAGGCAAACTGAAGTTTATATATAAAGAAGTTTTGAGGAGTAACGACAAATTGATTCCAGCTCATATTTTGGGTGAGCTATTACCATTAACTTTTGATACAATGCTTGTCTGATACGCACCTACAGTGTCGATTAACCGCCTAGTAAAAATATCATAGCAAGGTGTAGAACGAAACAAGTCAAGTTGCAGTACGTGCTGTTGCTCAACTGCTTGCTTTTTGTTTACTCTCTCTTTGTTTACTTTTTCTATTTTTATTCTTTAGACTATACCAAGGTCCAATATTTTCAGGTAACTTATGGGCTCAAGAGTGGCAGGCAATATATCCAAAGGTAGCAGCATACACTGATTTCATAAGGCCTAAGCTTCCCCCAAACGAGACGATACACTCCAAAGACCTGTTCGATGCAGTGGACGAGTTCCATCAATCTCTTGGATTTGAAAGTGCTAAAGATTCCTACCAGGATATCAAAGAGACAATGACTACTGCCAATTGCTTGCCATCCAGTCATGATATGTGTGATGGTGTGAATTACAAGTAAGTAGTTTTTTTAATCAATACCTAACCTTTAAGGTTGATCAAGATTTTCGGTTCAGTTGTTGGTTTAGTTTCGACTTTAAAAAGCAAGGAGTCCTTAATCTTAATATTTTAAAGTAATTTAAGATTTTTTGGGCGTGGGCTATCTATCCAATTAACTACTATTATTTTATTGTTCGTTGCTAGATCACTTCTAAAGTATAGCATGCACGTCTTGTTTTTACTATACCAACTGTCTGTAGGATAATTAGTGACTTACATATGTATCAAACTTATCAGTTCAGAATCTATCTAATTGGCATTGACCACCTTTGTCAGGTGGTTTAAAAATTTGCAATGTCTAAAAATATCGTCTAGTCATGTTTATCTAATGTTACTATGGACAGAAGTGTAATACAGTTTTTTTTATTCAACCTTCAGTATCTCAAACATTCTATATTCATTTAATTAATGTAACTATTCAGTGAATACGTGACTAAACTTTGTAGCACTACCTGCTTGAAGAATTGTTTTATTTCTCGATATCTTCATGAAGGATTAACCTTCATCATAAGACACGTTTGTGTATAATTAGATTATCTATTCTGTTTTTTATTTTTAAATAATGTTTCCAATGATTTCATAGTTTCAAACTTACAAGTCAATATTTTAAAAGTATTGTACTTTTCTCGATATTAAATTAAGTTGCTAACGAATGATAGCATTTGGCTACAAGTAAGGCTCTAGTCTAGACCACAATAGCCGCAATAGTAGTTGGTACGGCTGCAATAGAACTGCAGTCGGACTGCACGTTTGGATTGCAGTTCAATTGCAGTCGTGAGACGCATTGCATGCACACTGCATTCAGACTGCATCCGAACTGCAATTTGTGGTTGGGTAGCAGTTAAATTGCGGCCAGACTGATTAAAGCCTAATAGGTACTTATTTTGTTTAACATAACATAACATAACATCACGTCTTTTATCTCCGAAAGCTTAGGCAGAGGTGCACATTATGCCACTGTACAATGTAACACCCACTTTTCACTATTCATGTTATATGACTCCCATGTAATAGGGGTGAGCCTATTGCCATATACCGGGCACAATTCCAGACTCCGTGCTACTACTGAGAATTTTATTAAAAACCCAGTAATAGTTTGCCCGATTCGAAAATCGAACCCGAGATTATTTTATATGAAATGTGTTTATAATGTTACTTTCAGAATCAAATGGTGCGGTGAAAAGGTGACAGATGTAGTGGTGGGTCTGTCACGAGCTGCAAGACTACTCGGACATGTGCAATACTTCAAGCATTATAGAAACCTGCCTCCTTTGTATAGGGATGGGCCGAATCCAGGTATAAAACCAGAATCCTAATAGTATGAGTCAGTGACGGTCGTTCGGATCGTGTTGGTTGCGTGTTTATCAAAATTGATTAACCATGTGCTGTAGTATTTTGCTTGACATCCTTCTATGAATAGAAGAAGTATTGCAAGAGGTTTATCGAAGGTTCACTAATAAATATTTAACTTCCTTTCTCATAGAAGTTTCAATATGACGTTAACATTATTGTATCGTAAATCAAGATATGAAATTGCCAGGTCCTTTACAAGACATCACTCTCACTGAAACAGCTGTTAGAAAACTAGGGAAAACTTTATACCAGTGACTATTAATTAATCGTCTAGACAAGAAAACAGAAAGTGAAACGCATTACTTTGTTGCAAATACGAGTACCTAGTTACACTGCAAACTGTTTGGTTGCTAAACCGACTTTGAGATTGTATCTTGATGTAGTGCTTAATTCTGTGGCTTTAGATGTTGAGTATACCTGATGAGTTTATTTAATTGCTTTAATCTCTTAAACAAATTAAAAAGTTTGTTTTCTGGAGTTTGAATTAGAGATCGCGTTCTTTATTATTTATAGAAAAGTATACGGTAAGGTGATAAAGAGATTTTCAATGTGAGGATTGTGTTCACGTCTATGGTGTTATTGTGACGTTCAGGACAAAACAGGAAACAATATCAATATCATGATAAACAATGGTGTACAGCTAGTGTAGGATCTAAATACAATTCCATGTAAACATTCAAGATCAGAATCACGAAGCTTTAAAAATATAAATAAACAATTAATAATAATCGTGTTTATCAGCGTTCCACGATGCAATCTCCGACATCGTCGCCGTTCAGTTGACCTCGCCGGAACACTTGAAAACCCTGAACCTAGTGAAGGTCGATACAGGTCCAGAAGTGACGCTGAACCATTTGCTCTGGGTGGCCTTGGAAAAGTTTCCATTGATGGCCTATGCGTATGTCCTGGATAAATGGCGGTGGGACGTCTTCGGGAACAGCAGTTTGGATCATTGGAACCAACATTGGTGGGATTTGAGGTTAGTATGTGGAAAGATTGTATTGCAAAAAGATTTTATCATATTTTGTGTGAGTATCGTACATGCGTACGCTAACATTGTCAAGTACTGATTGATTGATTAAATAATGCGAATAAAAAAATAAAATTCTAATAGAGTATGAATAATTTGTGCTCGATGGTCTTACTGTCACAGTTTAAAAGTTCATAACTAAATTTATAAGTTTTGCAATTTATTTTTATTGTGAAATTTTAGTGTGCTACCAAAATAGCGAAAGAAATATAAATATTCAATTTTGTGGTCAAAATAAGGATAAAAACGATCACGTTTCTTAATCTCATTAACCAGATTCTTTAATAAAAAATGTAAATCAATAGGTTAAAACAATTTGAACATAAATATTCATGTAGGCCGGTATAATCATGTCGCTGTATGCTTATGAAAGTCAAATTTAAATATTAAGAGAAATATATTTTGTAAACAAAACTAGAGTATCTCTAAAGGGTAGCAACCCCTTAAATGTCAAATTTTGTGTCACATTACATTGTATTACTAGTACTAGTTGACTGTTAAGGAATGCCACTCGGCATTAAGTCTGCCATTGTATGTTATCATCATCATCAGTCATAGAACGTCAACTGCTGAACTACTAGACCTTCCATGAATGACTTCCATGTTATTATAGAAAAGTGTAAATAAATAACTGCTAATAAATGACCGCCTCACTGGCCGAGCGGTCGCAAATGCGACTACCAGGCAAGGGGTTTCGGGTCGATTCCCGAGTAGGATAAAGTATTACTGGGTTTTAAAAAAAATCTCAGTAGTAGCACGGAAGTTGGAACTGTGCCCAGTATGCAGACGAAGCCCCGGTAAACCGTTAAGCTTTCCGCGGCTCCGTATCGACATCAGCCCTATTGAGCCCCATCTGTGGTGATCTGGTCATCGGCATATGATCCATATACCTAAGTGTGAACAGTACAGACATTAATACCTGACACTAGCTTCTGCCGGCGGCTTCGCCCGTGTTCCTGTGGGATAAAAAATAGCCTATGTATTATTCCAGGCCATGATCTACCCATGTTCCAAATATCATCATCAATATCCCACTAGCCGTATACACACACACACACACACACACACACATAAATCCTCATAAAATTTTGCATTCATAGCATGCCTGCTTCTTTTTTTTAGTTTTAATTCATGCTGTAGCTGTAGTTTAGCGAGCATTGTAAATAACAAGATATCAACGAATAAAATTATTGTCATTAGCATGGAAACATTTTATCTTGTTTCCGATAAATATCAATATGTTCCTAAGTACCATAAAGGTCTTTGCCAATTCCAAAACCGAACTTAATATTAAATATTATGCAAATTAAAGTATGCAACGTTACTTCTAACTACAGTCTTTGATTATTTTATTAGTAAGTCTAACCGTGTGCCTATGATCCATTTAGAGGCAATGGCTAACGGTATATTATACCTGTTTATTAGCATAATCTCCTAGTAGCATCAGTTAGGAGTAGGTCACAGTAAAAGTATATTTAGCAGTCACTTGTAGTACTCCTTCGTGAATTGATGCAAAATTATTTATTTAATTGGTAATGATGTACTTTGAATTAATAAGATACCTACTTAACTAAAATCTATTTGTTACATCTTGGTGTACGTAGAGGTATTTTAAATATATTATTAGAGATATTTCTAACTGGACACGTGTCTAAATTAGTTATGATTTTTGCATTAGCTTCTTCAAAGGCTAAGCTGACCATTCGATGTTTCATTGGCATAAAGGCACATTCGATATTTCGGTAACCATTGACGTTGGAATAACAATTTCCATACTGGTGACAAAATGTCATAATAATTATAATGAAAATGCATTAGAACAGTTATTACTATAAGGGCCGATTTTTCAATCATCAGTTAATTCGTAACTGTACAATAAAATTGACAGTTGACAGTTTTTAATATGGAAGAATTGTCAAATATTCAAAGTTATTCTTCAGTTAAAATTTATCTGAGCATTAAAAAATTGACTCTAAAAGTAAATCTAAATAGATTTTTCCATCAAAATCTACATGTCACATGATGTTTTGTTCTTACTTGCTTACCTAAATATTAATGTCATCCTACTTCATCAGTAAACAGTAGAATCATAACAAAATTATTGACATTATTTTTTACAAGCTCATTAAAGGCAATATATCCCATATAAGATATAAATGACTCAGTATTTCATTAGCCATTTTTATTTCAGAATAAAGGAAACAGGGGTATCACCTCCCGTACTGAGAAATGAGTCCGATCTTGACCCCGCAGCGAAGTATCATGTTGTTTCACACGTACAATACATTACGTAAGTACATACAATACTAGTATATAACGATTGTCTAGATAATATATATTATAGTTATTAGTGAAAGCGCTAATGAGTGGAAATACAGGAAGATATAGACGTGATGAAGTATAATGCCTGTGGTGACTAACGTTCACTTTCGATTCAAGGTAATAGATTTTGTGAACTGTGCAATATGTTTCTTCGTCTTGGTCGGATTTCTACGGCTGTAGTTTTAGTTTAAGAGCCTGTACGTACAATGAAATGAACTTCGCAATTCTGTGGGAAAACTGTGCAAGTATCTGCATTAAGGATAAAAAATCGCATGAAAAAAGTCCCTGATTATATGCCGATTTGACGTGACGTGGTGCAAAAATAAATGCGCGCGAATTTTATTCGGCTGTACGGACAGGCTCGGTGTAAAGTCGTCACTGCATTTTGGTGATGCGAGAAAAAGTTTGTTAATTTAATCGTAATTTTTTATCATTTGAACTATTTTAATCATTCAGCCGTGTATGTCATCAATCAAATCAAATCTTCCGTTACAAATTGTCCGATGTTGTTATTTTACTTTTAAAAGTAACTAATCTGTTCTTTTTAAGGTGTAAATATTTTAGTTCATAGTTATTTATATTTTAAGTTGTATATATTTTCATTTAGTAATAGTTAATGTTAATTTTATTTATGTCCTACATATACTATTTAATAATATTGTAATTACTATCTGTTTTTAACTTTATTTTAATGTTATTTTCAGATATTTAGTGTCTCACGTATTAGAGTTCCAGATTCTTTTGTCACTCTGTAAGAAAGCGAATCACACAGGACCCTTACACGAATGTTCTATATATGGCGTGAAAGAAGCAGGAAAACTTCTAAGGTACATCGCAATTCAATTAAAATGCATGAGAAATTAATACAATTGATTCTTTGCGCAACAATGTCATTTCAATGCGCAGATAGATAAGTTATGTGTTCATACAACTAGTAAAAATCATACGAGAATATTAGAATGTTATTCAAAAGCATGTTTTTCTGTAAAGTATATAAAATACAGTTTGCGCTGGCAGACTTTTTACTTCACGCCTTTTATCCCGGAAGGGGTAGGCAGAGGTGCACCTGCACATTCGGCACTTAATGCTACTGTACAATGTTACACCTACTTTTCACTATTTTATGTTATGAGTCCCATAGGGAGTGTGCGTATTGCCATATATCGGGCACATTTCCAGACTCCATGCTACTACTGTGATTTTTTTTAAACTCAGTAATAGTTGCTCGACTCGACCAATGAGGCAGTTCTTACTAAACTTTAGTATATACTGTCTCGTCCATAAATCTCCTTATAAGGTGCTGATACAGTATGGTACTTAATACGGAGATATTAAAATCTAAAGAAGAAATAGTAGGTACTTCAATGTTTTCCAGCAGCAGTTTTTGTGGTTGGTTAAAAAGTTTTCAATAGGATTGATACAAACGTGATAGGGGATCCCCATAGGAAGCAAAAAGCAGACATCCTTTACAGACCAACAATGTCAATTTGAAAAATCAACAAACGATAGTAATGTGATATTTAAATACATGGTTATAGTACTGCCGTCATATTTTCCGCGGAAACAGGAAAAATCTTCAGCACTTAAAGTTTATGAAGCAGTTGCTAATCTGAATTTTAATGTCATGCACGATTCTGATCTTTGATTCTGAATGCCTTAAGAGGCATAGAATGTAGTTAACATTTTTATTGCAAATACGTATTCGAATTTCATTAGACAACTAGTAACTTTTCCTTAAAGTTAAGTGTGGCCTGAATAACATAAGAGTAGTTTTAGCTTAATTATTTTTAGTCAACTGCTCGACTAGACTGTCTCGTTGGCAGAGTGGTGTGCGACTGCCGGGCAAGGGGTCTTGGGTTCGATTCCCGGATCTAACAAATTATTGCTAAGTTTTAAATAAAATCTCAGTAGTAGCATGGAGTCTGGAATTGTGTCCGATATATGGCAATAAGCTCACCCCCTATTTCATGGGACGCATAACATAAATAGTGAAAAGTGGGTGTTACATTGAACAGTGGCATTAAGTGCCGTAATGTGCATCTCTGCCTACTCCTTCGGAGATAAAAGGCGTGATGTTGTGTAATTTCAGTCAAGTGTTTATTAATGCTGTGATGACTACTTATTTATACACTTTGATAACATTAAATTCAGTAATATAAACTTTGATATTACTGAATCTAATTATTTCAAAAATTCAGTTAGATACCAATAAACCACACCACAGGAATCTTCAATGCTCAAGAAAAATATCAGAATAGAAGACATTTGTAAATCTGTGTAGAAATTAAAACGTATCATTATTTCAGTGATGGTATGGCATTGGGTGCGAGTGAGGACTGGAGGACAGTGCTACAAGCCATGACTGGAGAAACAGAGCTATCCACTGAGGGTATACTCCAGTACTTCGCAGAACTTCAGACATTCTTAAAAGAAGAAAATATCAAACTTGCAGCCCTAACCGAAGGAGATATGGACCAAAGTGCCCCAATCATTGTTGGTGCTATAGTAGTGTTATTGACAATCTTAATTATAGTACTTTATTGTGTAAAGAAACACGATTTTGGTAGCAAAGTGTTCTCCGCTTGTGGTCTAAGTAAAAACGGATCTTTGGACATAGTGACGAACGAACTCCCACAAGGAAAGACCAATGAGGTTGATGGTATAAGCGAAGATAAGGTTTGAAACTCAGAGTAATATAGACCTTAATGTGATTTCATTAACGTTTATTTTCTAAGTGAAAGTATAACACATTCAAAAGGATCAATAGAGATAAGGTAAACAATTATCTAGATGTTATCGTGCCAGTGATTATAACAAGTTACGATTTGATTACATAATAAGATAAAATTTAGATTTATATTTATGTAAAAGTTTTGATTTATTGTTTTAGTAATAAGTTTTAATGCCTTGGGTATGTTAATTACGAATAAACTTAGTTGAACGAATGTTCATTTTTAATTGTCTTTGTTATTTATTTAGTTAAGAACCATACATAGATCTACCATAAAACTACACCTGGATAATGATGATATTATAAAAAGTTATTATGGATCAGACGAACCAGAAAACGAAAATTTATACAAAACTGCATGATGTATGGAATATGCAAAGCAAATTGTTCTTGTCACGCAAGGTTGTTGCATTTGACACGATTTGTGAATAGGTACTTTGGTTTTCAAATAGAAGATGATGAAGTACCTAAATACTATAAAAACTTTCAGCTAAAAAATAATACCTAACTTTGTTCAAATTTACATATTTAGTGCTACATCAAGATAATACCTACATGTCGAGGTATAAAAGGAAATTTAGTTACCTTTAAAATTCTAAATCCTCCGGCTCGACCGGAGTTGTACCACGGCCTCACAGAAAACCGTCGTGAAGCAACGCTTGCATTGTGTTTCGTCGTGTGAGTGAGGTTACGGGAGGCCCAGCTCCCACCCCCCTTCCCCAATCTCCGCAATCCCCGAATCCCCAACAATCCTCAAACTCCTAAACCCCAAAAGGCCGGTGACGCACTTGTAATGCTTCTGGTGTTCCAGGTGTCCATGGGCGACGCTGATTGCTTACCATCAAGTGATCCTTCTACTCGTTTGCTCGGCATATGCCATAATAAAAAATGAGAGCATTTAGTTGTAAAGGATTTTTTAAAGTTATAGAGGGTTCGATAAAATGAAAAAATAACGCTAATGGTTTCGTTTATTTGCTTCCAAGTGCAGTACAAGATGCCTATCAAAAAGTATACATATGAGCCAATAGTGACTATTAACAAAAGCTATTCCAATGAAACCTATTTACCAATAGTCAATGTCCTGCACTAAATAGAATGTAAGTACCAATACCAATATAGACTCCATTATCAAATTACAATCAACTCAGCAGGGACACGTTATAATATGTCATGGTCTACCTGTTCCAATCATTTAGGTCTGCTCTGTTAAATTAGAACTCAAAGCAAGGATATCTGAGTCTATAGTGCAAAGGCAGATTAAATTACATTGGTTAGTTTTTGCTTCTCGATCCACGCATGAAGTTGAGACGTATTGAGTGTTTGGTAGTTAATCTAGTCGAAATAGGTGATCAGATATGTATGAAAGAGACACACTTTAGCCTGGATAGGCAGTAAGTTTAATATTGGTAGCAGTTTTCAACACGACCTAAATCGCAGACAACAGCTTAGAAGCAATAAAAGGACGTTGTAATAATAAATCGGTGCGATTCGAATCGAACCACCACAATTCTAAAATCGAAGATAATTACATAGAACATGGTTGTTGGTGAATGTAACTACCATTGCATGGGTCATGGACATGTAATTTCAGTTAAAATTACGTTAAATAAACACCATCAAACCTCGAAACAATATTGTTATTTATTTATTTATTTATTTATTTATCAAGGACAACAAACAGCAGTATATTAAATATAACACAGGTGAGTAAAATAATAGATTTAACAAATACACTCCTCACGACGTTGCCACGGATTACCATAAATGTACTTAGCAAACACAATGGGGCAAACTTGAAGCTACAAACTATACAAACATAGGATAAATTTAAATTACAGAATTACTTTTTACCTGTACCTATCTATTATATATTTTTACCTACCTATATATTATATACATATATTTTGTGCACTATATGAATGTGAAACACAAATAACATGTTAAAAAAATAAAATTAAAAAGTCTGGAGTAATTACATTAAGGATCAGAGTATTATACCTCTAGTGGTCGTTCTTTTAAAATGTTAATGATTCGTTGTCGAAAAGTGTTCTTGCTTAGAAATAAGATATCAATTGATGCAAACCTTTTATTATAAGTGTCAACCAACCGATGCATAGGTGAGCGAGCACCTGAATTGGTATGACGGAGATTAGTTGCAAACATGTTCCGTGAACGCACTTCTCTGCTGTGTACTGAGCGAGGGACCAGGTAGCACAAACCATTCACAAGATCAGAACAGTCAAAGTTGTTGCGGCATATACTGAAGAGGGTCATCATTTCAAGGAGTGTTCGTCTAGATTGCAGGGACAGGATATTATACTTTTCAAGCAATAATTGGTAAAAGTTATTTCCATACTTAGAACCAGCATAATTTTTCCGAAATTACTGAATGAAGTTATTGTTGTCAAATTGATATTAAACAATCGATCGTTCCTAGAGTTCGTGTAAGCAAATGATTGCTATTGACGGTCAACGATGTCCACGACTGGCTGTGGACATCCGCTCGTAGCCGACTTGTCGAAATGGTTAAGAATGTGAGCCGGTGTGAACTAACTGCAATCACCTAACCGTAGCCGCTAGTGACGAACGCGCGCACCTAGGATCGCGACGCAGGAGTTCGCGCGCGATTTGCATATTATTCAAAATTCGAACACTGCGAATATTACGTTACGAACTGATGTTTATTTGATTTAAAAAAAGAAAGTTTATTTTTTTAATAAAATAGGTTTTATTTCATTAGACTGACTTTGTAATAGACTAAGAAAAACGCAAGGGCCACTGCAAATGAAGCCTAAGTGAAGTGTGATGATAAAAGGTTGTGAATAAATTTTAATTAAAAGGTAAGTTCAATATTAAATTCAGTTTAATTTTCTTTCCGTCACTAACCTAACGTGGTAAGTAGTCATTGTTAACCATATGTTATTATTCAAGAAGTAGGTAGACTTTAATATTTAATCTAACTACAAATAAAATTGTCGCGAATATTTTCTCGAACATATTTTTATTTATTTATTTATTTATCGGTTTATGCACAACACACAGACAGTACATAGGAGAACACATATATAAATATTTTGGAGGTACATAGGTACTACATATTCCCGAAGGAATCTCTTCCTGCAGTCCTTCGACAGGAAAAACGGAAAAAACAGAGACACTGTTTTTTCAGACACAGAGATATTATTATAAATGAAGGCAGATCTTCTAATAGCTATATACCTACGTCAAATAAGTTGTCAAGAAAATGATAATGAATTTAAAATTACTTCCTCGGCAATTTACTTCAATTGTAGCTTATTTATGTAACAATACACAGAATAGTGTTCACAAAAACTTGAAATAAAATATTTAATGACAGTTAATAGCATTTTATACAGACGCGACGATTTTTTCGTAATTATTCAAAGAATGACATTATAATTCGTTTTGTTGACAAAATGGTGTGGTTTATAATTTGTGCACTACAATTGTATGGTTTTTATTTTTGAAATAATTATTTATGTAAAAATAGATTATGAAATTGACGAATATTCTAAATTTATATTTCGGATAGGTTTTTCAGTAATTTATACGAAAATATTGCGTACTTAATTTTAAATCTTTTATTATTATGTGTTTTGAGCGGAAATATGAACAAATATTGGTTGGTTATATGAACATTATTTATTATTATTTTGTTGCATCACAACCTACATTCAAATATCTGTATAATATTTAAAGTTCGTTAATCTACTAAAAACTGGTTGAAAATAAATAAATCAATATGTTTAGTAAAAAATTCACCATATTAGAAATTAATCGTCCTAAGAATAAATTTAAATTATGTATATTAAATGTGGAATAAATTATATAGGCTATTAACCAGCGCATGCGTGGACAAATTTATTAATCTATCTATTCATTATTTTTAATTATTGCCGTGTTTTTAAGAGGAGAGAAATCATTAGATAGACGATTCCTCGCGCCGGGGATGAGGCGAGAGGGAGTATCAGACTCTTACTGACTAAAAAGCACACCGTTTTAACCTTCTGCTTCGAATCGGGCCATGATATGTCATTTCGCTTAACTTGCAACCTAATTAACAAATATTTACTAAAAACTAATTGACCTGGCAAACTTCGTACCACCACCAACAAAATTAGTCAAATAGGTTTAGCCGTGTTTAGTTTTAGCGACACTAACGAAGGGTAATTCGTTTATGTCCCTCGCTTATGTTTGTATTTTCGCCTATGTCCCTCTATATAACGCCTAAACCTGTAACAAAAATTTTAAAATTACACGCAGAATTTTAGCAATGTTGATGAAGCGAAAGAGATATATAAGAACCGTAGTAACTTGCGGTCCATAGTCTCTGCCAACCCGTATGGGAAACAGGCGTGAGGTTAGGTATGTAGAATTGTAACATGCATGGGGATTATACCCGGGGCACGATATATAGTAGCCAGTTGCTCAACCATAGTGCCAATCCTGTGCTCGTCATCACTGTACTGATTACTTAATCCTTTGCTCATACTATAAATCAAACAGTGGTACAAAATGCCTTATTGTTGCTAATATATTTGCTTCGATTATAGATATCACCTGAGTAAAACAGATGCTATATGTACATACATAACTATCCAATTCTGTCATAGTTTATGCTATCGTTTATATTCACATTAAATCCTTGTTTTCCAAACAAATATTCCAACTGTTCAAATAACTAAAATTAAAAAATCTAAATTCTTTTGTAGCGTGTATTTATGACTGATCAATATTTGGTATTTTTCCTATCTTTATACCTACTTCCTATAAAAATAAGCCCCCTTTTTACGCATGTTTACCTGCATGTCTGTGTATAAGAGAGTGATAAACTTAAAAACTAGAAGAGGAGTTGTTATACGGTTATCACAATCAGATAGTGACATCTTGAGGTAGGTTAAGATTCATAATTTGTTATGGTGTTGACCAT